TGCCCGTTCCTGGCTCAGGGCGCTTGGAAAGCTGAGGCCGCGAAGCTTGGCACAGGCTTCCTGCTGCCGCACGCAAGCCGCGGGCAAGATCGCCCGCGGCCGTGTGTCAGTTGCTGTCTTTCCCGCAGGCCTGATGTGGATGCACCAGCTGGAGGGGGATATCCGGTTACGCCACACCTGCGAACAGAGCGATGGCCTCCCCCGCTACGGCTGGCTGCTTCATGACGGCACCCATTTCGGGGTGCAGGAGATCAGGGACCTTGGTTTCAGCCTGCAGACAGAGTTTGTGAAGCGTCCTGGTGGCCAGCATGGCGGAGACTGGAGCTGGAGAGTTACGGTTCGTCCAGAAGTGAGTGGAGGAGAAAGGGACCTGTTCTGCTTGTGCGAATTTTTTTGGTGAAATGCTTTTCATTACAACGTACTTTTTTCACCTTTCTTACTTCTGGAGTAAGAGTGATGTGCACGGCGTTCCAGCTGCTCACCAGGGCTGCTTGACTAAGCGATGTGGCTGCGTTAGCTGCTATGCCAGGTCCTGGTTTGGGGGTCCTGCTTCCAGGCTCCTCTTGGTGGAAAGGGCTTCACCACATGCCAAGCGGATGGAATTCACTTTTTGATTTCCCCAGCATTTGGCAAACGTGTTCTGTATCTGACTTTTCCAGGCCTTACCAAGGGAACAAATAAATCCCCTACCAATAGAAGCGAATATGTGTAGCTCAGGGTTGAACCGTGGAGTCTTTGGGGTTCTCTGAGGTTGGCTGTTTTCTTGCAAACGTTTCATTACCCAGCTAGGTAACCTCTTCAGTACTAGAATGGAGTAGGGTTTGCTCTCTGTTTATAGACAGAGGGATGCCCTGCGATTGTTGGCGGGGGTGTGGGTTTTGTTTTGTTTTGTTTTTATTTTTCGTTCTGGTAGTTTCTTGATTAGGGTATTGTTTATTGCTGATTGTATGTTTGGTAATCTTGTTATTCTCTGCTTATCTGGGTGATGATTGCTGGTGAGATGTTCTGGTCTTTTGCTTTCCTTTTTATTGTCTCTTTTTAATAGTGTGTAGATGTTGTTTATCTCTGTGTGCCTGTTGATGGCTGATGTGTCTGAATACCAAGCTTCCAGGAATTCCCTCGCATGTTTGGATTTAGCTTGGTCTAAGATGCTGAGAAGAATTGATGCCTTTGAAATGTGGTGCTGGAGAAGACTCTTGAGAGTCCCCTGGACTGC